TCATTTAATCTCAACAGGAATATTCTGTACAAACAAACGTGGCCCAAAGCTCACTTCTGAAGATTCTAATGGAACCAGTATAATAGTGTACTAAAAAGGTCATTGCTTTCCCTTCCAAGGCAAATGTCCATAATTGCTGTTCCAACTGCCCAGAGTTATTAGCAACACTGGTCTACAGTTTGCAGTGTGAGAAAAATGGACAGTGTTAGGTAGCAACTGTCACATTGCCAAAGGCATTTCCAGGCCTGTTTTATTAGGAAGGACTGTAAAAGCTGAGGAGAATCTGCTCACTTGATTTTAGATGGACAGTGTTTACATGGGCGATGTCAGGCATTCAGTTTAACACGGAGATGTTATCTGGCCCTCCAACAGTAACCAGTGTTACAAAGCCAGCAGGGAGGGGAAACTCGCTGTCCCCTATAATCCTAATACATGATCCCAGAGCCCAGCTCAGTGTGAGATCCTACTCTGTTTCGCTTTGCTTGAAGGTATGTATTCCTGGTCCTTTTGTTGAGACTGAAAAAGTGGCAAAAGGGACCACATTGAGCTGCCTGTCAGGAATGTATGTTTACATGTGTGTTTGTATCTCAGATCATATTTGAGGAGGCAGAAGGATTCGCCCAGTGTCCTGAATGTAATTGTACAATACTGATAAAAGGATAGTGGTCTCCTAATGATACACAGGCAATTCTCGTAACACTAATGTGGCTTGCACGCGTTGATTCGCCCACACGGTAATGAGAATACCCTTCCCCCCGCACAAAAGAGAATATCCAGTCAGAGGATTTTTGCCTGATCAAAATACCAGGCTGAGAAAAGGTTTCAAAGATCTTTACTCGAGCTAGTGATACCGACGTAAGTAAGTAAAATAGCTGTGATCTAAATTCACCGCATAATAATTAAACTAGCTCTCATGTAGCTCTTTTCATCCACCACTCTCAAAGTGCTCTAGAAAGGTCAGTATCCCTGTCCCTCACTTCCCCATCTGTGAAATGGGTATAGAAGAAGCAATTTGGCCAAGGTCACCCAGCGGCCGGAGGCAGAGCCGGGAACAGAACCCAGCTCTTGAGTCCCAGTTCAGTGCTCGGTCAACTAGGCCACAGTGCCCCCATTTGGCCATCGTTAGCTGGCTTACCCCAGATGCTTAGCTGGATGTAGTTATTAGTGAAAGGTAATGAAATGCAAAATTGAGACTAGTTTTTTCCTACTATTCAGCTTTTTCTCCTTCTGCCCTGAATGGGGGTTCAGAGAACTTGCTGTGGCCCCAGGTGAGTTCTGCTGAGGCGAATGGGTGAAGTTAAGAGGAGATCACAGCTGTGCTTTGCTTTTTCCATTCTGACCAATCCTTTTTTGGCTTGCCTTTTTCAGCATCACTGCCGGAAGTGTGGGAAAGCAGTGTGTGGCAAATGCAGCTCTAAGCGCTCCTCCATACCACTGATGGGATTTGAGTTTGAAGTGAGAGTCTGCGATAGCTGTCACGAATCGATAACGGATGAGGAGTGAGTCTGAACTATGAGCCCAGTTGCCTCAGAGGAGGCTTAATGAGTTACAGAACTCCTCAAGCTGTACTCCTGTATACTGCACTCTGCTCAGAGTCAACCAGATGGGAGTGTCACAGAGCTGTATAAAGTGCTTTCTCCTTTAACAGGTCAGGCCATCAGTCTCCATAGGTCTATGTAGAGACGGGAATTAGTATCCTCCTTTATATGACTATAGTGTTCTTGTTACTCAGTTGCTGTGTTCAGTTCTGCATACCTCATTACTAGAAAGAGAGAGACAGTTTGGAAGGAGTTTAGGAAAGAGCAACAAAAACATTCTGGCGGCCAGAGGAATTCATTTTATTAGCTCCTAATTTCTCTTTCTTGTGTGTAACTTGGTACAGTGTCTTGCTGTTTGGAATACCAGGACTTGTGGTACACATCTGTCTTGTATCTGGGGATGCCCCCAGAAATGGAGTTTGGAGAGAGAGGGATTTTTATGCAAAATAAAGGATTTATTTTGCCTGAAGCTAAAACTGTGGCTTTTACCAAGACTGCAGTACGTAGTTGGACACAGTTAGCAAAAACTGGAATATGAAGAGTCATTTCTAAAGGGGTGGTGCAAAGTAGAAGAATCCTCCAGCAGTGGATTTTAAACAGCCCTTGTTTCATCCTACCTGTTTCTTTCCTGATATGCTCTTCCTGAATATGAAAGGGGAGCTGTTTTCACATTTTGCCTTGTCACAAAATCCCCCTGTGGGGAGAGAGACTGTGAACTACATCTCCCAGCCTGCCTTGCCACAGACGTACTTACAAAGTTGGCCACCATAATGGACTGCATTTCCCTGCCTAACATGACTAGGGTTACCATCCGTCCGGGTTTCCCCGGACATGTCCGGCTTTTGGGTCTTTAAATAGCCGTCCGGGGGGAATTTGTAAAAAGCTTAAAAATGTCCGGGATTTCCCCTCAGATGGCTATCTAAAGACCCAAAAGCGGCTGACAGGGCAGCCGCGCCGGATTGAGCCGCTCACTTGGGGCCGCTCCGGCAGCAAAAGCCCCTCCCCCGCAGCTTCAGCACGCCGGCAGCGCTGCGTGGGGCATAGGGACTGACTGTAGCCAGTGGGTGCTCGCCCCCCCCACCCCTCCCGCTCCCGGCTCCGCCCCCATCCCAACCCCTTTCCCAAATCCCAGGCCCCGTCTTCTCCCCCGGGCGCGCCGCTTTTCCCCTCCACCCCCCTCCCTCCCAGACTTTTGCGCGGCAAGCCTGGGAGGGAGGGGGGAGAAGCGGAGCGCTCAGGGGAGGTGGCAGAGCAGAGGTGAGCTGGGGCAGGGGGGCGCGGGGAGGGCTGCCCGCAGCAGTTAACGGGGGGGGGGGGGCACAGGGGAACCGCTCCCCGCCCCAGCTCACCTCCGCTCCGCCTCTGCCTGCTGCCTTGAGCGCGCCACTCCGCTCCGCTTCTCGCCCTCTCCCTCCCAGGCTTGCTGCCGAACAGCTGATTCAAGGCAAGCCGGGGGCGGGGCGGAGAAGCGGGGCGGCTGCGCGCTCAGGGGAGCAGGCAGAGCCAGAGCGAAGGTGAGCTGGGGTGGGGCAGGGCAGGGAGCGCGGCGAGTCAAGGGACAGGGAGCAGGAGGGTTGGATGGGGTGGGGGTTCTGGGGTGGCCTGTCAGGGGGCAGGGGTGTGGAGAGGGATTGGGGCAGTCAGGGGACAGGGAG